CTTAGCTCATGAATTTGACAAAATCAGACATCAAGCCATCACGGCTGTAAAACCAGCGAGTCTATTAATAAGAACTTAAACCAGAAAAATGTATTTTACTCTCCAGTAGCGGCTATTCGTGCTGTAGTGGAACAATCCCATTAAAACCAATACGGATGCCCAAGCACAGCTGGGAGCAGAGGTTGGGGAAAAAAGGTCAACGACGCGATACCGCTGAGAGTTTAGATACGACAGTGATGGGGGCTTCTCAGGCGAGCTTTTAACGCCACCTGTCTGCTCTTTTTCCTGCATGTCTGTATCTCATCCACCAAACAATTTTTACTGCACTTGGACTTACCTCTACTCCCTCTTGGCACTCTTGGCAAAACGGACGAGTTCTGGGGCTACAATATGATTCAGCAGAAAATCTGGAAGCGAGGAGTGGGAAGGCCATGGGCAGCTTTCGCAGTCACTTCTTCCTCCTTCCTGCGGCAGAACTCGGATGACAGAGGAAAGTGGCAACGCGATTTTAAAAACACTTTTGCTTTCTCCACCAGCTGGGATCATGCAGAAACCAGCCAGCTCCCAGTGTGGTAATTTATTCTCTAAATCGAGACTCCCTCTCCCTTCTGATTTCTATCCCCACTTCTTTGGCAGATTATTTGTAACCCGCTCTGACTTGTCACGCAACCCCACCAACAGCTGGACTGAGGCAACTGATGCAAAAAGAAGCCTAATGCAAAAGGATTAGATAAATATGAGGACTACTGTGCCAGTTAAATAATAATAATAATAATAATAAAAAATTCCACTATTTCTATCACTAGTAGGAGCCAGTAAGTCTACAAAGACTTCCCCCTGCCCCAAAGGTAGGCAAGGCTCTAGCAGCTTTCCACATTTTACCACTCTATTATTTTTTCCTGCCAAAAAGCCTACTACGCTGATAGCCTGGAAATAAAAAAAAAGTTAGCAGTGGTGAAATCAGGCCAAGCCAGTGGAACTTTGCTTCCAAAACAACAACAAAATGTTACGATGCACAGAGCCAAGGAGGGAAAGAAGCTCTCGCAATCAGGCGTCGTTAGAGCTAAGTCACGGTGCGACGGGTCACCGGCACCCGGCAGGACACGCTGGGAACACACTTTGTTATCACAGACAGGCAGCAAAACAGCTATCCTTGTTTTTTCCTGGGTTTACATGTCATCTGCAACTTCCCTTTCAGTTTCAGTATTTATTTTGAGTTGGTTTTGCTGCCATTTCTTGTTTGTCTTGCATACATGCGCCTGCCTTCCATTTCACCACAACTTTCCACCAAATAAAACCATATGCACTGCCATAGCAACATTTTAATACAAACACAGGGTAATCTTTGTTCACTGAAGTACACGGCTCAGTTTTTTTTTTTTTGCTCTTATTAACAGAACCTGCATCTGCATACAGTTTAACTGAATGTCATAGCAACAGCATAAACACGAATTCAAGATATTTTTTCCTTCAGAGGAAGGAAGAGTAAATGTTTTCAGGAAAAGAGCGTGGGACTTAAGAAAGCAGAATGAAATGTTTGTGACCAAATAGGGCCTGACCTTACATCATCACAGCTGTATGCTTACTCTCTGAAAGCCTGCTCTTGCAAGGTGTTATACATTCCCAGTTCCTACAGATGTCAACAGAGAACAGCCGTATCTGGCAGGGCGAGGTCTGAATCGCGGCTACGCTTACACACAACACGGAGGTTGGACTTCCTGTCAGCGCTACAGCGAACTTCGAAATTTCTGTACTTTTTTAGACCAGAGTGCGTGTTCGGCATGGTAAACAGTTTTACTCCTAATGCAAAGCAACTGCAGTAACAAAAATTGGTCCGGCGTGCCTCTACGACCTAGCGCCAACCACACATTTTGCGGCACGACTCTCTCTTCCTCTACGGCTCAACAATTCCTAATGCGGCAATAAATAGTGAAACCCAGAATTCAGATGTGTTCATTCAAAAGTTAGCTGTTACTCTGACAGGGGGTATAGTGTTGTTTACCCATGACAACTCAGTAACTTATGTCTCATACCCGCAGGAATTTATACAAAAAAGGAAAAGAACCAAGTTCTCTCATATGGCTGACTCAGTCCTACCTCTCAGCTATTGCTATGCGCTTAGCTGTGCTCTATTTTTGTCCTTAATGGCTTGTGAAAGGGATGACTTCATTAAGCTGTTAATTTCTTGAAGTAGCATGTTCATTCAGGACAAGAGCCTCTACTCTTTGCTTTGTAAGCTGATGGTCCTTCAGCTCAAGCACGCTCTGAGGGTTCAGGGTTTGAAACCTGAAAAGTCTGAACATTAAAAGCAATGCTGTAACGACGCTACGCACACAAAACTTGTTCCTCCTGTGACAAGTAGTTTATAGAGGAAAATAAATGAGTAAGCGTAGCAGGCATAAAATCAAGCACTCGACACAAGCTGGTGTTGAATGATGAAGATTAAAACATCACACAGTTTTCATTCACGGACATCATCTGCGCTCAATCAAGGCAGAGTCCTGTAGGGATCCTCATATAATATGATCACAAGAGTATGTTTTCAAAACGGATAGAACTGAAGTCTTCCCAGCAGCCTCAGCTCCATGTCTTAAATTTCAAGCACTTGACCAGAAATTTAAAAATACAGCTTTTAAAGATGTATTTTCTCCCTTCAGTTTATTACACAACACTCGTTCTGGGTTAAATCAGTGACCTTAGTGTCATGAAGAATCATCACTGTTGCAGGACCTGCACTGGTCACCTGCCATCAGTAAGGCTGAGCTTTTAGCCAAGAGACCGTTTTGATTCAGCTTTAGAAACAAAAATTGAACAAGTTTTGCTAAACTGAATATTTTAATTCCATCTTGGCTTGCATGTGATGAATCTCCACTGTTCTAACTAGCATAACCGTTCTCAAAACCAAATAAAAACAGGTAAATAGTAACCTGGGAATGAATGGCAAATGCTACCAAGGCCTTTTACTCTCAGTTTGATTGAACTCTAGAAGATGATTCCCTGCTTGCTTTGGGAAATTTTAGTTCTAGTAACCACCACAGGAATGCTCCTTAGTAATTTTTTAAAACCTTCATTAACATAGGAAAAGATTTAAATCTGCAGGCTAGATTTAACAGCATCTTCATTTAAAAACAAATTATGGTTGCGTCTGGCTCACAAGGAAGCTTAAACTAGATTTATGTAACAAAAAAAAAAACAAAACCACAGGCAAACCTTTTCATACCATTAATGAAAACCTCCAAGAGTGTAGGAAAGTACTGCAAATTACAAATCTGTGCTCCTCAGCCAACGACTAATCACACACACATGCAGATCAACGCTAATATTTGCAGCACTCTAATTTCCACTGTGTGCTATGAATCTTAACAGAAATGCCATGCTTTTACTCCAGACGAAACATTTTCTGGCAAATGAACTGTGGTAGCTTTGCTGTTCTGCTCTTTTATCGGTGTTATGAACGGGTTCAAGACTGGTTTAAAGTAATTTGTGGCTACCAAGTCAGCGTGCAGTAATCACTGATTAGGAAAAGCTTATTCACTTTCACTGAACTGAAAAAATATGAAAGCAGCACCTATAGCTAGGAATCCTGGTCCTTTAAAAAGAGTTAAAAACCCCAAAGGTTGAAACAAGAGGTGGGCAGAAGACCAACAATGACTAAAAAAGAAAACAGAGCACAGGTGGCTACTGCCAGGCAAGAAGAAAAACTTGCCTGTTTTACCAGAGGTTGCAAAACACACAAGGGAAAGGACACGATACAGCTGTGAGAAAAAGTAGTATGTGACTACAAAGGTCCAACGCTCCTTCCAAACTTCAGTAGCTAGATGTCAGGGTGAATAATCTTTTAATGGCAATTTGTTTGCAAAGGTGTGGAAAAAAACCCACCTTCTAAAACTCTGAACATCTCAAAAATCCTCTGCATGCAGCATGACTGGTAAGGAACCGACAACCTGGTGCCCTGAAGCCTAGACCGAGAGTCTGGAAGCACGAGCCCTCTCCCATACTGCTGCCACAGCCTCCTGTTACCTCAAGTTCCTTCACCGCTTTCTGTTGTCTTTCTACCCACAATGTCAGCACTGGCGGGAAGAACAGTTGTGACTGAAAAACCACCTTCATGGCAGCTTAGTGTGCATCCCATGCCATCACCTTTTCTCTCAAAGGTGCTACCCTCACGCAGGAGACAGACTGGGGTAACAACGATGGCAGCGACAACCTCACAGAGCTGCTTACAAAGCGATCGTGTCCGTAAGACTTTACAAATGCTGACTTAGCCAGCCCCTTGCAAACTAACCCCAAACGCCCACGCTGACTCCCGAGGACTCCCTGGTGCAAGCGCGCAGAGGGGCCCACCCCTCTCAGCACACGCTGCTCTCGTCCTCCGACGGACCCCACGGGCACCGGGGACTTACGTACAGGGATGAGTGGTCTGGGATCTAGAAATCTTCTCGGAAGTTAACAACAGATTGCTATTGTCAGCAGATGATACAGTGCAGGAGTATTTTTTTAAGGTTTATTTGTTCTTAAGTAGGTAAATTTAGTTGATATTCCAGTAAATATTTACAATACCTGGCTTCAGCAGGTAAACTAGTAATATGAGATGAATAACATAAGCATTGTTTAGAAGTTCAATACATTAGCAGTAGTGACACTCTATGTATCCATTTCTATTGATTTTAAAACCCATGCAAATTTAGAAGATCAGGGTAGAAGATTAAACATACAGCAACGTGCCACCCTGAAAACGTGGTTTGACCTGACCTTAACACATTAAGCAAGATGCAAGTAAGAAAAAGAATGTATTGCACCGGGCACCCAAAATGTCACCGCAGAAGATTAAAGTAAAAAGTAAAGTAAGATCATTTGCAGCAGCTCAGCATAACAAAGAAACACCCTAAAAGAAAATTAATCTAATGAAACATCAGTGGGGTTTTCTTCAGTAATTTTAAGTGTTAAGATTCAAATCCACATATAAATACAATATGTGATCAGACAGTTAAACTCAGAAATCAGACACTGAGCTGTTAGGGTAAAAGGAAAAAAAATATATTGTTGAAACTAACTTGGAAACTTTAAATTTGGGTTACTGTGATTTATAAAAGATACATGGACAAAAGGGTGCAATTAAACACCAGTTTTTTTCTGGAACCAGCAATTCCCTATCTCTTTATTTACATTCCTAAATATGCATTCCTAAATCCAAAAATAGGCAGGCAGTTTGGAAGTGCTGCCTTTAGTGATGGAAGCAAAACCAAACCTCTGAGAACGCAGCTGTATAAAAAAAGATTAAATTAAATAAAAAAAAGAAAAGGCTCATTCCACCCTCTTCTTTCAAAGAACCGTCACAAACTGTCCCGAATTTCCCCTTCTTCCATAGATGAACGGGATGAACTTCCACTGTCCGAGTCCTCTGCAGGTTCACTGGCATCTGAGGGTGTAGGACACAAACGAAAAACAAACAAGTGATTAGTTTCAGCAATGTTATTTGCTCAAACAGAAGCAGTTTCGTATCTTCTTTTCCCTTTAATCACACTTCGTTTGAGGACAGCTATTTCATACGACATAACCAGTCTCATAACATGGGATAAAGCCCTGGGTAGGACCTTGTTGTTGAAGGAGAAAGCAAGACAATGTTGAGAATTTCTTTTAGTTTTTAAATTTCGGTCTTTCAGTGAAGTAGGTAAGCAGAGCATTTATCCCACACAAAACTTCCTCTTCCTCCACTGAGATTTTCAAATCGTTCTCTTGGCTTATTTGTTTTAACTGTTGTTTTCTGCATTCCTACATATATATCACAACTATAACGAATTATAAATCATTAACACTTTTATTAGCATTTCAGTGAAGATGGGGAACTACTGAGAAATTCTAAACAGAAATAGAGAATTAAGATGATGCACCTATGTACTCCACCCACATGTGCCAGCACCCCAAAGATGGTGTTAAGCTGTGTGAACCCATGAGCTAAGGCCAATGAGGTTAAAGCTGGACAATAACTTGTCCTTTAGGACACTGCTGTTGTGGTCTGCTGAGATCGTATCATGCAGCACTCATTTCCCAAACTGGTCTTCAGCCTCACACCCCGAGACTCCTCCTTTAACAAGCACTGACCCCGGTCACCTTGCGGTGAGGTCACCAAATGCCACTGGTTGGTGGCACTCAAGCAGCACAAAAATAACCTACAGCAAAGTAGGCCCACGATTCACACTCTGCTCTCATCGTTATTTTCAGTATTTGATCCGACTATGAATTTAAAGAAGTTTTTGAGCATTTAGTGTCAGATCCTTCATTAAGGAAACATTACTGAAAAGGAGCTGAAGCAGCATAGTGACTGTCTTGCCAATGTAAGTTCTACAGCTGGCAAACACGGATAATACATAGGACACAGTGTGCACCTGTACAGTTTCAATGGAATTTGTTCAAGAAAATAGAAGCATTTCACCCAGAAACATCAGAGGTCACATTTTGTCTACATTAAATCTAGTGTATAATCAATTAAAATTTATATGCCAGATATGTACTGAGTAATGCACAAAGTAAGGACTGTTTTTGCCCCTAAGTCCTGTGAAAGCTTCCATAATCCCCTACTATCTTCAGCCATGACTGACCTTGTATGCTGAAATCAGAGCACCTCTAGCTTTTGCTATACGCAAGTCAAGCAGCAGAACATCACATAAAAGAATGTGGCAATCTTCTGACTCACACTGAAGCTCAACAGGCAAATTTTAGCTTTAATCTGTTACAGTAAGTTTTATTTAACAGGACTTATAGATATTCTTCACTCAAAAAGAACGTATTTTTATGGTGTTGATAGCCCTGCCTATAAATTAAGCTTGCCCAGTCCTTCCCACCATAAAACTGTCTGCAGTTTACTTATAATGTAAAATTTAAACTCTGGGTTTAAATTTTGCCGTGCCAGTTTCCTTCCTCAATCCTTATTTTCCTTATTTCTTTGAAAGTTTCAGCCAAAATACTTCAGCCATTTCTCAGAACAAGGATAGGAGAAAAAGGTTTTGTCCTCATTAAATTCTAGCAGTCTCTCTTTGAAGGCGTCCAGCTCCAGCTCTCCCACAGCCTTTGGGGGCAGTAACTTGAATTGCAGGGAGGAACGGTGATCTTTCCCCAGCACGTGCCTGTTGCTGTGGCTATGAAAATTTGCCTCTGTCCTTCCTTGGAAAGGGGGTAGATCTGCGGACTGCTCAGTAAAGAAGCATAATTTTGTAAGGTAAATCTCCACAAGACTTTGTTTCTTCTTGTAGCCTGGGTCCTTTGAAAACAGACCCCGGAGGGCTATGGTAGTGGAAGACACCCTGCCAGGCATCCACTCATCAACGCGGCACTGTTTGCCTGCAATGCCAAGGGGGGGTCAGCCGGACGGGCGCTCCGAGACAAGTGTCCCTCCGGGTGCCCGTGGAGAAGGAAGGCAGAAGGGAAAGTCACTGTTGGCAGAGATAGGATAACCAAGAGCAGGATGGATGACTTAGGAGGAGTGTGCAACTGATACAAAAAGCCATACATGCCGAAGAAACTGCAAGTAACACACAAGATGCTGCAGCAGAAAGGTCACTGCTTGGGAGACAGGAGTGGGCTAAAGCACCTCTCTGATTACAGCAGACTTCTCCCTGGAGAGTCTGGAGGTGAACCCAAGATTTCCACTCTTACCAATTAATTACCTGTGAATGGAACTGCTAAGCACACTAAATACTGGTTTTTCTCCTTTATTCTGTAAAGATGACACACAACACAAGAATACAGTGGTTGTACCACACTTTAACAAAAGTGGTATTTTGTTTTCAAGTGGAGTAACAGCGACAATAAAACCCTCCTATTTTTATATTCATGTTCTGATCCCACTTTTCTTGAAAGAATCTGGAATTACTGTGGCAGGCTTCCACTCTTAACAGAAAAAGCTCCAAGAACAGAGGGTCCAAACCAAACTCAAGGCTGAAGTTAAGCATTAATATGTTAACTAAGAAGATGTACAAAAATAAATTATGATCAAAGTTGTGAAAATCGTGTTATTTTTGCCATTAGCTATAATCTTTTGCTATGTTATACCCAAGACCCCTCAATGGGGAACTATGCACTTGATTTTTATGGAATCTATAGAAACAGTTAAAAAAAAAAAAAAAAGAAAATTAATGGTTCCCAAAGCCTGAAGTAGCTGCCAGTGTTCCCTGAATACCAGCTTCAGGGATGACTGCTAACTGAACGGTCCCTGCAGCAGAGGAAGGTCACCATCTTGAAGACACACACAGTGGCACTGCCCGGTGACAAAGCTATGGGCACTTCCCCAGCTATTACTGCCTCTCTCTCCCCTTTGCCCTTCTACTCTGCCTTTTACAGAATCACCTAGTTCCTGCAGCAGCATGACCTCAAAATACAGTTGTTCGATCAACACTTACTGGAATCCATACCCTTAAAAGGTCAACCTAGCTACTAGCTCAAGAGACAGTAACAACCACCATATTCAGATTAAGTTTATAAGTCAATCAGTTGTCATTCCCTCCTGACATCTAAATCACAGCAGTAGGGCTGACTACTGAAAAGCAAGGGACCTAGATCAAGAAATAACAGATAAACTGAAAGTACCTAGTTTCCTTGAACTCCAGTATACGTATGTGCACTCCTAGGGTGAGTATCAGTGGAGCTAGTTGCTCAGACAAGACTCCTACCTCGCCCCCGGCGTGGTGTCTTGCTCTCAGAAGCTCTTGCAGTACGTAGCGCAAGAAACGTCTGCATGCCACTTCTTTGAGAGCAGACTGCTCCAATGGATCGCTTAGTGTCATCTAGCCAGAACAGCCAAGATCCGTGGAAGTTTGATATCACTGGTACAATATTCTCAGTCTCATATTTATTCAGTCATATTATATACATATAGAGCCATGATTAAGCTGCCGCAGAAAAACAGCCATTGCAAACATATTTCAAAGGTTTTCCTCAGAAATCTGTAAAAATTACAGACTGGCTCATCGCTGAAAAGTATGGAATTTGATAACTAAGGTGGCTAGCTGGGGGACTAAGAGACAAGGGAACTGATTCCCTCTATCAGCAGCTGCAGAAAGTGAAGCCAGGACACAAAGCCTTTATACTGGGGAGAAAGACGGAAATTAACTTCAAAACTAAAACACAAATTTCTGCTAGACCTGGACTCTCCTCTAAGTTAACTCCAAGATAAAAGTTTTCCCTCAACTAGATACTTTTCAAAAGGTAACACTGTGCTTTTAACCCACCTGAAAAGCTAGTTTGCCATTACGATTTCTAGTAACTACCCTGTAATTCAGAATTATTTGTCCAACGTTAGGAGTTACGCTAGGAAATAAAGGAGGATGATTCCTTTGTATGATTAGCAGGCTTACTTAAAACTCATCTTCCCCAGACAGCTTGACTTTTTAGAAATAACCAACTCTGTCAAACTTCGCTACGGACAAAATTTAGCATAAGTCTGAAAAGTTGTTTTACCATAGTGGCTAAAAATATACAAACAAAGACTCAAGCACCAGTAAACAAAGTTGGGAAAACCACATACAATACAGCTTATGGATGTAAGCCATCAGCCAGCAGCTTCAAGACAGAGCGTTCATAACAGCTTTTTTACAATAATCTTTTAGATTCAGAGGGAAATACAAGACATACTGCACATTCCTGTCATTATTAATAGGTGTATCCTTAATTATTGTTTATTTAACTAAAATATCTAAGTATAGCATAACAGGAAATAAATACATGCTTACCTTGGCCAAGAACCACCATGTCGTTCTTCAGTGTTTTCAAGACCACAAATAACGTTGGATACTCGATTATTACTTTGCCTTTCAAATTGTCTAGGAGGCTTCTACTGGCATCCAGTTCATTGTACCTTAAAAATAACAGGGAAGTTTATTTTGGATTTTTATACTACAAAGGACATAGTGTACACTTTCTGGAAAAGGGGAAAAAAAAAAAAAGGCTTTCTGGCAATTCACAGGATTTTCAGATGATACCATGTACAGAAGATCTATCTTATGATTCAAATTACATATCCAGTCTTATTATCCAACTACGTAATTTTTTTTAAACCCTCCTAACATCTAAACATAAGAACAAGAGGAGAATCAAAGTCAAATTTCTCTAAGGGCTGAAATGTTTTATGTGTTCTTAATGAGTATCTTTACCAAAATCAGATATGGACATAGGGTTATCAAAATGGATATATTTACCAAAATCAGATTCTAAATTAAAAATATCACTTGATGTTCTACTTATGGGTTTTAACACTACAGATTTAATTTAAATGGTTAGTAGTGTACCTTATTTATCATGTTTGCTTATGAATTATCAGAGAAGTACTGGGAAGATGAAATAAAAAGCTATCTGAACAACTACTCAAGCAAAGGTATATTGGAAGCACTTAGAGCTCTGTTTTTGCAGAAGTAAGGGCTCTGATACCCAGAACACGGGGGCAATAATTTCTAAAAAATGGTACAATATCCCCATATATGCCTAAGCAAATCTCTGCTTACTGCACCATCCGCAAGAAACTCCCCATAGAAATCCCCACATACACGTGTGCTACAAGAGGCGCACGATTCGGATGCGCAGTCCTTTCCCAGAAACGGACTCCTCTTCACCCTGAAGGGTGAAGCCAGGCACGTAACATATGATGCCACGGTAACAGGAAGTAAACTGAGCACCTTCTCCATAATTATTTCCTAGAACTGTAATATTGTCTCCCAACTCTCTCACTGGAAACCTGGACGTGGGATTTTGGGGAAAGGAGGAGATATTTCAAAGCCCTTCTGTAAGAGAAACCCTGTTGCTTTCACTTGCTCTAACTGCGGCATCCAACAGATGGTCTGACACTATTACACTGCAATCTGAGTTATGCAATTCTTTCTGTAATCAGCATTATTAAATTACTACTAAGCTATTGTATCAGTTAAAGGCAAATGAAGTTCAAAACCAAAATACACTGTGGGCAGCTGAGTGGAGTATTTCCCATAGCTGCTCTACCTTCTCTGATCATTAACATATTATGCATTTGGGTTTTCTTTTGCCAAAAACAACACTGGATGGGTGAAGGAAATGATATACTTTATGATTTACAGTAATGTGTGATTAAGAACAGTACCTCAGAGGAGTCAGCACACAAGAAGAATATTGAAGGTAAAACAGGATTTCAGTTCTTGGGATTTAAGGGAAACTTAGTTTGAGCAAAAACTACTCTCTCATATTCAACTTCAATCATCATGAAAATATTTGGTTTCATGTTTCTCTCAACCCAAAGTAATTACGACCTCTTCTTACTGAAACCCTTTAAAAGGGATAACAGTATATTACATTTCTTATTGAATCAATGCATTCATAACTTATGGATTAACACACATGAACAGAAACATATTTACTGCTTTATTTACAGTACTCTAAATGCAAAGTATGGCAATACCTTTCCTTTGGCAAGGACTTCAACACATTCTTTTCTGGTTAAGCAAACATTTACCACCAAGAGGCTAAAGTAATTCACATGCCACAATACACTTTCCATTATCTCATGTTTTAGACAAAACATCTTTAGCGTCCAGCTTGGCATAAGATAAAACATTTGTACTTAAAACTATTTCATGATAGTAAATTACTGAAGTGTTAGATCACTGAGTCAGAGCTTTATCTTTTTTGTTTTTGAAGTAAATTTTATTGCTTGAGAGTGACAGAGAAAACATCTAGATTTTTAGTGCATAATGTAGGTTGTAAACCTCAGGGAGACAATAATAAAGGAGCTTAATGCTTCTCTTTTTTAAACTTTGCTGTTACTGTCTATGCTATCTAAAAGACCTCAGTCTACCACATTCCCTACTTCACACACCAGTGCAAGTTCAGGTTTTCTGCTAAGCCACCTGCCAACCTCTTCCTTGACTGTGCATGCTTAACAGACCTCGAAAGAAAACTAATACTTGTCACTCAATTCTGAAGTCTAATACAGGAATGCTCCTGAGCAAGACTGATTTTTCAGGTTCTCTCTGAAAGACTTTTTCATGATTAAAAACCTTCCCAATTTCATCCCAGAACTAGAACAAAGTCATACATTAGAGGGTGAACACCACAGACCCATGGGCAAAAGAAGAGTGCCCTGTAAGGCTTTTCCAGAAGCCTATATACAAACACAATTTAAGTTTTTACTTATCAAAAGGTTAGACCTGTTTGGAGAAAAATGAAAAATGAAATGAAATGACATTTTTACAAGTCTTGGAACTTCCTGTACTGGTTATTCACCAGGATGAGCTGAGGAGGTAGGGTAACACTGGGATGGAGGTCCTCCCATGGACTTGCAGGGAAGTAGACTCACCACAGGTATGAGATGGAGCAGGCAGAACCTGGTATCAGGTATTACCAGATATTCTTTTATCACCATTTTTACCTACTTGTCCTGTACTACTGGGACTGCGTAGCCGGCTCAGTAAGAACCCGTGAAGAGCTGCAACCTTCTTCAGGCCCTTCCTTCACTGTGCGCTTCAAGTGACAACCCAGTAAAATGAATGGCAACCAGCGTCAGTCTGTCCTTTCACTCGGACTCTTCCAGGCTCCAGGGCCAGATGCAGGAACCGACTTAACTGAGGCTGTCATCCTAAACAAGCTCCTTCAGCCCTTCATGGCAGGATGGATTTGAAGATAAGGCTGGCTCCAAATGAACTGACCCCCCTGACAGAACCATTGCCTTAACACCCCATCTTCACGCCTTTCTTTTGAACCCTCCTCCTGCTTTCTCCTTTCTCCCACTGCCCAGTTCATACCAATTGTCTGTGCTATGGCTTCCCAATCCCTGTATTCAGCGGGACTTCTCTTTGCACCCTTCCCTCTCAAACTTCTTTCCTCCCTGGTATTTACTTCCCACATATTTTCTCTCTCCCTTCCATACATTCCCTCAGCCTCCTTGTCCAACACCCACCATCTAATAATACACTTCCCTGATTATTTTCTTGCCCCAAGCAAGGCTTTCTGCCCATGTCATGAAGCAAGAAATAGGCCTGGATTTCTTCTTAATAAGACGACTCCATTTAGAAGGACCACAAAGAGACAATCTTGGCAGACAACAGCTTTTGATTTTAGCTGGAATGAAATAACAATAACTGCTTTTTAAAGGACAAAAACTAAATAAAATTTGCCTGCCAGCAGGCAGTTTAAAAGCCTACAAAAAATGTGACAATTGAGAAAATTTAACAAGATTCAGCAATCCCACATCAGTTCCCATATAATCTGTTACATTCGCTCTACGAATGGCTTCGTTACCTCTCACAAAAGGCTGAAATTAATGTGGCTCTGCGCTTCTGATAGCATCTATGCAAAGGATAGTTTCACTATCTATAGTTATTCCACCACCTTCCAGGAATTCAACAATTCAGCCGCCTAATCTGTCTCCCACAGGCAGGAATTCCGCATTAGGTCACTGCATCACAACACGCTCCCCTCAAACGTAGCCCGTGGCTATCATTGCAGTGGCGCAACTTATCTCCATGAATTCAGACAGCAGGAAATTCCCTGCTGATCAGGTTTTCCTGAATGTCATCTACAGGAACTTTGATTTTAATAATAAAGAAAAATCTGCAATCTGGAATTAAAGATAAATTGTAACCATGTTATTTCTTTAGTTTAGCCTTCTAGACACTGAAAAGAGAACAAACAACTTTTAACCATCGAAATAATTGTAAATACTACTAAAATGCATACTTGTATGATGATGTTCATAATTTTCCTGTGAGAGAGATCAACTAAAACCCTTGCGCATATTTTAAACAAAGACGATTTTTCTTCCTAGAACCGAGTGGAAACATCGAGGTATTTACTTGGCATAATTCAGACAGAATAAATCATGCTATCTATTTTGGGCCTAGTCCTAAAAATCCACAATCAAACTTCTGCTAACTTATGGGAAGAACAAAGAACTTTTTTTTTCCCCCAAACAAAAGAGGGTAGCATTTCCTAGGTTTCTGCATTTGCCTAGAAGAGAGCAAAGACTGGGTACAGCATTTAAAGTCTCTCCCAAGCACTCATTCTGAAGTGCTGCAGCACAGCAAAGATAATAACTAACAGATGGACTTTCATTCCTAAGTGGTGAATAACCTCTTCGTGTGGTTATGATTTGGTGAACATGGAAGTAGTGAAATGCACTCTTGAATTAGGTATGAAAGGAAAGTTATATGGCAGAAAGTAAACACGATGTATTGAAATAATGTGGAATTTTTATATTTAACTTTGCCACTAGAATTCTGACATTCTAAAAATCTGGAACACAGTGAATTTTGTTAGTCCATATGTATGAAAAAGAATTAGAATATTCAATGAACAAAAAAGCAGAGACCTTAGGAACAAAAAAAGGAGAAGACTTGCCATAACACTTCCCTTGTAACTAATTCTTACCAACAGCTGAACAATATGAAAGACTACTCTGCTTGAACACTCTTTTAAGGAAGGGGGACAGGAACCAAGTTCAAGTTTATATTTTAGTATAAAAAAAATTATATTACAGTTTACACCAGTATTTTAAAACCTGCTAGCTCCTCCTTCCACTCTTGGTCTATGGCTTTTCTCCCAGTCTAGGATCTCCATAATTTGCCTCAACAAATGTTCACTAACCTCTCCTCCATACCTGCATAGCTCAACCTATACCAATACAGACCAGAAGCCTGGCCAACCCTTTTCAAGTTAGATCCCCATCTTACTTGATGATACTTACTTACAACACTTTTATCACAGATGTTCTTTTTCTGAAAAACGGAAAATTAGGACAAGAAACCTTCTCTTATCAACCGTTTGGCCCACAAGTCCTGCTAGGAACCAACTAAAAAAAGTACAGGAAGAAAAGTTGCCAGCATACCAGAAAAGCAT